GTGTGTGTGTGTGTGTGTGTGTGTGTGTGTGTGTGTGTGTGTGTGTATGGGGGGTCCACAAAGCTGAATAAAGTCACCCTATAAGCTGATTTTCACTGGTTGAAAAAGAAAAGAAAAAAGGCACAAAAAGGTCAATGTGGGATGAGTAGTTGTTCCTTAATGTCAGGGAGGAGAATCCATTTTTTGGGGGGTTTAAATTGAGATATTTTCGATTTCCTGAACTATTACCTGGTTTAGTTTTGAATAGAATTGTGTCTTTGATGGGAATTGGTGTTATCTGTTTGATTTTGTTAAGATTTGGTGGTTTATGGCATATTTTAAATCCCTCTTGTTTGGTTTTACTCTGAAATCTTTCGATTTCCTGAACTATGATTTGGTTAAGTTTTAAATAGAAATGTTTCTTTGATGGATATTGGTGTTATCTGTTTGATGTTGTCAAGATTTGGTGGTTTATGGCATTATTTTGTAAAATGTTGAACCTTTAAACGTTTAACCTTTAACCTTTAAATCCCTCTTGTTTGGTTTTAAACTGAGATCTTTCCATTTCCTCAACTAGTTGAGTTTTAAATAGAAATATGTCTTTGATGGGAATTTGTGTTATTGGTTTGATTTTGTTAAGATTTGGTGGTTTATGGCATATTTTTGGAAAACCTTTAACCTTTAAATCCCTCTTGTTTGGTTATACATTGAGATCTTTCGATTTCCTGAACTATCACCAGGTTTAGTTTTAAATAGAATTGATGGGAATTGGTGTTTAAACGTTTAACGTTGAACCTTTAAATCCCATTTTTGGGGGGGTTTACACTGAGATCTTTCCATTTCCTGAACTATTACCAGGTTGAGTTTTGAATGGAATTGTGTTTTTGAAGGGAATTGGTGTTATCTGTTTGATTTTGTCAAGATTTGACAGTTTATGGCATTTTTTTGGAAAACGTTGAACCTTTAAACGCGCCTTTCTTTTCACATTCTTTGATTTTAGCTGCTAAATAAGCAGGTTGAAAGTTCTGAGGAGGATTTTTCCTCTGGTAAATCTACAGGTCTGAGCCATTTTGGTGGACATTTGTTGGAATTGGAGGTTTCTTTACCCTCCGTTTCCCTTCAGTTTACTGGATTCTTTATCAGGTTTTTTGAATATTTTCTGAAACTTCTCGGATGGGTTCGTGCACAATCGTTTGTTCGCCCCGGGATGTTGTGTAATGGCTTAATATCACTAAAAATGGCATCCGTTTTTAGCTGTGTTTGGACTGAATTCTGAACTGGCTCCAGGGGCCAAATGTTCATTTTTCGTCTCAGAATAATGAGACGTCTCGGATAAAGATGCGCAAAACAGCAAACATTTGAATTAGAGCAGAACTAAAGGGAGTTTAAACCAGCAGAAACATGAAATTACCTCAAATGGATTAAAACATCTGAGCACAAGGGTTGAAATCAAACATAAAATGATCCAGAAGAGTTACCCACAAGCCCCAAAACAATCAAACTGAGGAACATAACCAGCATTAAATCCTGATTTCAACTTCTGAAAGGCAAATTTGTTGCAATATTACACAAACTGCACACAGAATAGTTTCAGCTAATGAACAATCAGAGGAAAAAAGCACCTAAAAACTCTGATATGATCAAACTGAGTCTTAAATCAGCTTTTAATGATATAAAATATCATCCAAGAAGAAAAACTAGCAGATTTCTTTTCAATAATGGGCCAAAACACATTTACTAACCAAAGAAGAATGTGAATGTTTTCCATGAAACTGGGTCTTTGAGTGAGACATGAAATGACCCATGGGGCCCTGAATGCACCACGAACTGAGAAGACTCAGAACCAGAGGAGCAGGGAGCTCTTCAAAGGTCTCAGATTTAAAAGGAACCAGCCAAAAGTTATCCACATCACCTAGAAATGTTTAGATAAACGTTAAAAAATCGAATAAATGGACTTAAATTTCCCTGGATTCCAACAAACAGAGCAGTTTGCTTTCAGAATCAGAATCAGAATCAGAAATACTTTAATAATCCCATTTGTTACTAACTCCAGAGATAAAACAACATA